ATAAAAGACAATCTTTTCCCTTCATCACAAAAATAAAGCCACCTGTATTTCTATTCATTTTACAATACATGATATAATGAGCAATTGATCACTGCCAATGTAATGACAGGAAGAAACATAGTGTACAGGAAGACCTGAAGACATCATATTAGTGTATACAAAGTATATATAGAACTTCCTGTGAATAATGACTTATATCTACATCCCAATGACTGGGTGCGGACACACCATGTGTACATGTTTATCTAAATATAGGACTTCCTTGGCTGCCAACTTCAGGGACCCTCCCCATTATTATAAATGGACTTCCTTGGCTGACAACTTCAGGGACCCTCCCCATTATTATAAATTGATCATAAAGAAACATCATCAATATTACAGCTGCAGTTGCCATTCATATCTGCTAGGATCGATGTACCTGACATGTTACAACATTGAACACATACTTAGGACATTTACTAACCCAGACAGTTACAAATCTGACTATGGCCCTCCATACTAGCTGGTCTTCAAGATAAGGAGAACAGGTACTAAAGAACTTTCCTCTACAGATTCACCATGTGTGGTCACGACACCATCTGTATAGTTTGTTATTTAGGGGCAAGACTTTAATATGGAACTGGTCATGTGCATTAGTAAGCTGTGAATTGAAAGTTTTGTAGAAAATCTTTTATAAGAAAAAAAAAAGACAGTGTGCATTTTTGGTGCAGCATGACTAACTTATTTCTAATTCTGATTTTCTGTTCATGTTATTCCTGGCCATGAGTTTGAACTACCCAATGGTGATATCCATATCTGTTTACATGTAATACTGTGCTCCATGCTAAGATCTCTACATTCAATACTGTAATGTGTTATTGTGTTTATAGTGTTATAACAGGAATTACCTTGGTAATGTTCATTATAACACTGTGGTCAGTATTTACTCTATGGACAGTGTGTAATGTCCATTAAAAATCTGTGGTCAGTATTTACTCTATGGACAGTGGACAACATCACCCACTGGGTACAGAAGTTTCATGCATGATCTGACACACTAATCGTCCAGTTATTTGTAACAATGTCCAGACTGAAGCAATTGTCAGATGTCCCATCAGACCGGCGACAACCTAGTGACCTAGGGGACTGGTCACTTCAGTCTATCAGAAAATCCTGTGTATATGTATAGCAACCCCACCCCCAAAAAAAGACAAAAACAAGAGTGATGGATAGTTAGAGGTTTACAAATTGTCGGATCCATCATAAAAGTTGACAGTTTTGGATACAAGATCAACAATTAACGTATGGTTATCACAATTGTAGCCTTATTGTACTACAACACACTTTAAATGCAATACAGGAAAATTGGGTTGGTCAAGGTAACATTGTCCATATATATGTACATGACCAATAGTAATTAATGTGTCTTTCCTTCCTCTACGTGTATTGACATTGAAAATGACGAATCAGATCTGCATATTATTGTATAATGCTAGTGGCTCCTGGACATACTAATGCATTCATACATAAATGGTTTATAACTGTATATATTCATTCGTGTGTATATATACATGTAACAGCCATGACTAAAGTCCTACCTATGTTCCACGCCCTGCTCACTCTATCTAGATACTATGGTATGTGACCATGTACCTTATCTGCTCCTGACCGGGATAGGTGTACCTGTCATTGGTCTAGCCCTCGTTACCAGGTGTGGTCAGTGTGTGCACCTCACCAGTTTTAATGTAACAAGGCTCAACACTCTACTATGAATGAGCCTGCACTGTATACCAGTTTACTCTTAAAGGTTAAGGCGTGGCAGTAACTTATCACCGAACATATTAATGTCATCAGTTATTGAAAAATCTATTTGGGGTCATCCTTCCGCTTCAAAACAGGTGGCATTTTCTTTACACAAAAAACAGCTATGTCTGATGAGAAAGATGTGAAAAGTACCAATTATTTCATAGTACATAATTCTATACATGTGATATCCTTGAAACTTTATTTCATATAAGGTATATATATACCCAAATAGATTTGCACTCGAAACAAATGTGTTTGTCATCCAAGTGATGTGACAACAATTTTGTGTACAATATACATCTGCTTCCTGTACAAGATTATGGCACAACCAGCTGTATTTCTAACACAGCAACTAAAAATTCCTCTACATGACGGTTTAATCATGTGACACAAAACATGTTTCATCAGATTAAAATGTATGTAGGTCAAACCTCTTAAAACTCTGTACGGAAGTTTTAACTATTAGTGCAATTCTTACACAGCATATATATTATCTAGTATGTAGCACTATTAATGTAACACTAAATACATTTCGCCACCAAAATGGCAATGTTGTCAGTACAGATGAGTAATTGATTGAAAACAAACCTGCTATGGACCACTATCAGTTGATAAAGAGACCAATGCAATTTTTCAGAATGACTTAAATGGATAAACAGTGCAGACATGCATGTCTCTGCCGCAGGTGCAAAGTGAAATTCCATGTTGTTTGAGGAAAATTTGTCCAAATAAAACCCCATCGCCAACACACACAATGATCATTTTCCAGGTCCCAACATCCTTATTTGGTTGAATATGGTACATGTAAGTACATAAAAGTAAAGATACTCTTAGAGCAAGATCAATCATAATATATATATATATATATATATATCAATGGGACTATCTAGTATTCATAACAAGCATGTATTGACAGAAAAACACTCAGTGCCAAAAACTTGCAAGTCAAAACTAACTTTTTTCAGACACTTGCAAGGGTAAAAATATACTTTCTAAATTAGATTATAGCTTGCAGATGTAACGCATAAGATATATATATACCCTAAAAGTTAAAAACAGATTTTATTTACATAGACCTCACTTGAGATATGGTACAAGACAGGTAAAAAGTTTATAACTTCAAACTTTTACTTGATGTTATGACTAGCTAGACAGAGAAAAATGCCAACTGCGAAAATTGCAAGTTTAGAATATTTTATAGCAATGTTTTCTAAAAAAAAAAAAAGAAACCTGTTAAAACTTTTCAGGCTAGAATTTCTAAGGTGTAGGTAGAGAACCCTCAACAAACCCTTTTTTCTGCTGGCCTAATGATTTGAATTCAGTACCATGAAAATGGCAATGTACTAGGGCAGACGAGCACTGTATTGTGGATACAGACAACACACACTAATTAATAGAGGCTACCTAACTTGATCCATGTTTTTATCATTGTTTTTCTCAGTCTAGATCCCCTGAACCCAGGGTAATTCATTAATATTTTATTCAGGCTGTCTATAGTTGAATTGGTATATGTTGTATGTGTTCAAAATCAACCAAATATGTACAGATTCTTTGTATAATTGCAGGCCATAAAATTGGTTCTTAATCAGCTGCATATCTCCCTTGACCATTTTTATTACCATTATTAATTGATAAAACATTCCATTGCTTTTGGTTGAGTGATGACTTCTGAACTCCATGTAATATTAACACTATGACCTAGTTATGTCACAACACCAGGAAACTGTACAGATTTTACTCATCTTGATAAGCACATGGCTCAAAACCAAATTTTCGACAAAGTAAAAACAAAACAAAAAGTCATTAATGTCAATCTCACAAGAAATTTAAAATCTGAAGAAAATCCTCATATTTTTAGTTTCACTTTCTCAAACATGCGTAGTGTTCTATCTAATAAACAGTTCACATGTTGACTTTCCTACTGTGATTGTACATTTACTGTATGATAAAGAAACACAACAGTCAAGTGGACTTGTACCACAGTATTTCATGGAATGTTATCATTGCTGATAGTAATATCAGTTTTCAGAAATTGGATACAATTATTTCACCCAGCCTATCAACTCTTAATTTCCTTTCCCTGTTAATACTGAAAGTATTATGACCACCTCTGGGACGGCTGCAGTTGGCTGTCTGGTGTGTGCTAACCCAGGCCTACAACCTTTCCCTCCTTTTTGTTTCCTACCGAGGTGAAGCTTTAGGCTATCCCTGGTAATTGGCTGGGTATCCCCTTACACCAGGCCTGTAACTGCTTCTACAGACTAAACCACTTGTTTCTCCATATGTTCGGTCATCACTTTCCTTTTTTGTTTGATAATCATATTATGTGCAGTACTGATTTTGGTTTTTATTTTATCTCTCTGCCATAGTGATAAAGATCTGTTGTTACTCCACATAGAAGTCATTCAAATAAATATCTTGTGTTAAAATAGCAGCACAGCACTTTTGCTTCTATGTCAAGTCACACAATTAAAACCTCTACGCTGGACAAATAATAATACCATAGTTTTACTGTAGTTGAATACTTAACATATAAACATTACATCATTAAACTATGCTTTGTTCCATCAACTTCACAATCACAGAAAAAACACAAAACCATCTCTAGGTTTCATTGTTATTGTAACCCAACGACATCATTTCAAAAATTATAATCCATTGTCGACATGGTTCATTGCCATTGAGGTCACAGTTTTGTAAATATGGCTTTAATCATATTATTGCTGGTTAACCTTCAGGATATTAGTATATTGTTCATGGTCCGAGTGTGAACACTTGTTTGATGCACATATGATGTCCATAAATTCAACCAGTAAAGATGAACAAGTATTAGAACCCAATACTTGTCAATATCGGGTTAATTTCACTGTAATTTTAATGTCTGACTGATGTAAGGAGATGATCTAATGTGAAGTTGTTTGTACCTGGGTCTAGTTATAAACCTACACATTGTGTCTATGTAGACTGGGCCCTTATCAGATTAACAAGGTTCCTTATGTAAAGTCTGAAGGGGATTCTTGAAACATAAATAGGTCCTTTTTAATTTCCCTGCTTAAAAGGAAATAGGGATAACCAGAATCATGAGAAACAGTTCCTTATTAAACTGGTAGTGTTTTACAGTCATTTGAAGTCAAAAAACATTGTATCAATATGTCTTGGAATTTCAACTTCAATCAAGAACATGATATGGCATACAATCATTCATGCTAACTTACCGTTTTGGGCATATTTGGAGTTAAGGTTCACCAAAGACAGGGAATAAGATAGTCCAAGGTAAAGGGAGGTAAATGTCCACGGAGGGGCAAACCCAAAAAACAATGGTGTTTCTGAAAAAAAAAATCATTAATGTATACACTGTAACCCAATAAACATGCAATGGTGCTCCTGAAAAAAATCACAATCTTATAAACACACAGTGCAAGTCCATAAAAACACCACATAAAATAACAAGCACAGCAGTTCCTACAAGCTACAATCGGGTACAAAGTTAAAACTATAACTGTAAAGTTACAGTATCCCTTCTAAGCGTACCCTATCCTTTTTCAGGTCTGTGCATCCCATCACTTCATTAAAATTTTCATTCCTTCATGATTTTACCAAGTGACCTAGATAAATTGTTTGATGGGTATTTTTGATTGCTTTGGAAGAACCAAGCATTAGTGATTTTTCCTAACTGGCTGATATGACAATAACAAAGCTTCATGTCTAGAGGACAGAGAATGGGGTATCTCAAATTATAGCTGTCACAGAAACTGAACTGATTTGTGACAGATAATTTTGAGGAGAGAGCAATTGCAGTTGCAAAAGGTAATTAGTTCTTTTGAAACCTGTGGTTTGTTTAAGCTGTTAAATAATTCCCTCAAAATTCAAATAGGGGAAAATATGACCCACACCAATAGCAACGTCTGAACTAAGTTGTTTTGGTCAACACATGCAACATATATCCATCGTTTTGTTGATCAAACTCAGGAAAGAAATTGATCTATTTACTATACTTCCAGGTACATATACACCAGTGATCTGACTTCACATGCGATAACTTATATATATATATATATGTAAAAGACTGCATATCAGGCAAGTCTGGTGGTATGTGCCACATAAGTTTTAACACTATGTAACATATATGTAAATCATTAGAAACATATGACACCTTTAACCTCCGACATTCTTTAAGGGTACCACAAACATTAACCTTTAAAATCATAAATCAATGAGCCTCGTACAAACCAATTTTTGGGTGTTTTATATCAAGTATATATGCTGATGTTGATGCATAAAAACATGTGGGCCATGTGAAGATGCGCTGATGAGAAATAAATGAATTTATCTCAAATAATTTACGTATTCATATCAAAATTGTAACAATTATTCTTTTTTGCATCATAATGTCAGTGAATGGACCAAATCCCTTGGAACATCTCGACCAATGACTGTCTCCCAAACGATATTTCAACTATGTGTGCGTGTTGCTTGGATTGCTTTAACATATTTATTTGTAGAGAAAACAAAATTCAATTTAACACTGGATATATTTTCAAAAGTAACGGAGTGATGCACTCAACTTTTCAAGACAGCTATATATTAAATCTGTCAGATTATCATTATTTAATGTAAAATACAAGCCGTTCATTGTTCGCCATTTCAACCATCACTTAAATATAGTGAAATCAGATTATGGTCAGAAAATGTCTCTACATCCTGTCTTAGAATGGTATGACCCTCACAAGTCATTAATCTTACTGCACCACCTGTCCAGTTACGTTCGTTTGACAAGTGCGATCATGATCGCGGTCATCTAAGCGCTTGAACACATTTCAATGTCCATCGTCTTGTTCAACAAATTAATAAATGACATAAAATAACTTATCAAAATTTAACACAAGACAGCACATTATATATCCATTCTAAATATCTTCTTATCCCCACACATGAGCATACCAGTTAAGACGTCCTAGTTGCAAACACTTTCACACACCTCTCGAATCGGCGGCACACATCACCACGATGTGGATCAGACACCGCCCAAAATAACGTTTTCATATTTCGTGTGACAACAAAAACACTATGTCAGCATCTAAAAAGCAAAAGTCCTCGCTCATCCACTTGATCAATCTACATTCATAAAATCATCCGTTACAATACCTACCCCGTATAAAACAATGTGGTGTAAATCGTTCACTTACTTCTACGGGACCGGTTCTATTATGGCCTCCAGGGTGTGACACTCAAGATAATGAGCATTGGTTGGACCCCTCTAGGATAGAATTGCACATTCGCTATCCGAATGGCTTTACATTCGAGATACCTCGTAACTGTACATGTGCTAGACGTAGATATATATATAGCCGGCTAATTAAAAAAGTAAATCTCGCATTTAAAACACAATCTTAAGTGCAGTTAATTAAATTTTTGAGAAACAAATGTAGATCCAGGAAAATAATTTATCCAAAAAATGGTTTCATATTTTGTCAACTGTTTACCTATGTTTTTTATGAATAACAGAGACAAATATATTGAATGTTTTATCTTGGAGTCATAAATAACAATTAATACCACAGGGGCTCGGTTTCGGGGTACTTTCGGTTAGTAATAAACCTATACACACCAGTAAATAACAGCAACACTTTTTATCCGGTGTTTATACACATTCTAAAACCTTATACAAATTAAGGGTACCGAGGTAAAAAAAAAAAAAACACACCTTGGTGCCCTCAAAATTTACTGGTGTGTATAGGTTTATTACTAACCCGAAGTATCCCGAAATCGAGCCCCTGTGAATTAATACGTCTCTGATTAAACGCAGCCTGATAAAAGTACATAACCACATAAAATACTCTACAGACTGCAATGGGTTTAATATAACTTTTAGACATCTCTCTTAGAAGTAAATGTAAGAAGAGAAATATAATGTAATTAATATGGGGTATAAAATGGCTGTGAACTATATGAACATAGTGAAAATTCATTCAAATCGAAAGCAAATTTCGACGGTCTTTCAAGTGCTCATTTATTAAAAAGTGTGGTTTTAATTATATTTTGTTACCTTATTGCATGACGAAATTGATCATATCACGATATTAGATTCGATTCATATCTAAATCCGTGATCATATGTTAAATTTACCCGAACCAAAAATATGTGTGCAATTATATATAATCTGCACTACAGCTAGTTAACTGATTCCCCTTCTTCATTATCAGTGTATGGACAACCAAATCAAGTATCTGTCCATTTAATATATAATATATATATATATATCAAGTCTGCATGTTAAATAAAGGCAGATATGATAAAATCCACACAAAAAACTGTTATATAAATTTGTGTTAATAATTTGTTACCGAATTGTAAAAACATTAAATACATCATGTAGTCTTGCAAGCAAAATTAAAATAGCTCACTTCGTATTCCCACAGAATTAGATTAAGTCCGTAGCTGTATGTTCATGAACTCCAGGTACGTATATTCCTTTCTAGGTGACACAATGTGTAATAAAACAGTGTGTCTGTTTGTGTATACCCTGTAAAGTCACAGTGACAATGAGGGGGCGGGGCGAGTATCTACCTAGATGTGTACCTGCCCGTTAGGTGTGGCCGCTGACCGCACAACCACTCCGTGGGCGGTTTAACTGAACTAGTTGTTGGGCCCGCAGGTAACGTGTATATCTGTGTTAGCACCCTCCCATGTATGAGTAACGAGGAAACACCTTTTAGACATTAACCTGTCAAAGCATATATTAGGATATATATATTTAGAAAACAGTAGGTGCTAAGTATGTAACACCAATGACCGTAAATAGACCCATCATGTTGACGTACATCTAATCATCACGTAATACACTTTTTATACTGAATTCATGTTTATTACGGAATGCATTTTTTTACTATTTTTTTTTTGCTATTTTCTTTTCAGAGAAAGGTTTTCCGATAAATTTTCGGCAATCATTATTTCAACATTTACCAGATATGAAGCAAAATCTGATATTATATTACGTCTCTGTACCAACTAAGTACTGTACCACATATTTTGTTCTTATCTATACCATCAGTTAATAGTTCAGACGTAAACATGTTTAATTAATAGTATATCAAAAACGACATAAATTCGCTTGTTAATATTATTGAAAAAAAGAAGAGAAAATTAAAAAGTTTACAATAATCTATATCAATATTTACAGATATTGCATCACTAGTTCAGAGACGTATTGACTATACATTATATGTCTCTGACTTATTGAAACTCATACACTTTTTAAGAAAAGGACTACAATTCCTATCAAAACAAGTTTTACTCAGAGATACAGCCTTTCATACTTAGTTCGGGTCAGGAAACAGGTAAACGGAAAAAATAAGATGTACATTGACTGTACACGACGTTTAGGGAAAAAAAAAAAAAAACGCAACGACTATGCTTCATATCATCACGGAATTAGATTAATTATCTAAGTCCGTAATATCACACAGTTGGTATTGTATATACCCGTTCAATTATATTACAAGAAATGTATGTTAATTATTAAAAATCAAGCTAAATTTATTTGCAAATACAAGAAGAATTGGAGAAAACTATTCCTGTCTAGCGTACGAGGTTTCTCTTCATTAAAGTACAATGAACATAATTAACTGACAGAAACGATATATCACGTAATTGTATGAATTATAAGAAAGTCGTATTACATGCATTGAATCAATTAATTGGACGAAACAGTTGATGCGAATGTAAGCAGAAATGTGAAATGTTCTGTTCGTTATGTTTTGTATACAACACAAAATAATGACTAAGATACATTTCCACTCCATAAACTTTCTCCTATATTCAACTTAAATCATAGCGTTTGTTGAAGTGAATTTGAAAAGCAATTCCTCGAACATCGCCTGGTTTGCGGATGATACGATATGACTAATAAGAGAGGCGTTCTAATCCCCGAACAATACCAATCCTCCAATAAACGTCCGGAGTGTCATCTGTTTTAGACATAGGAGTTCAATCTTACCTGTGGCTTACAACAAACAACCCTATAAACACATCTGTGTCTGTCACCGTTTACAAGATGTGTGATGTGTTTGATAAAATCCCATTTTATATTACGTCTGGCTTTCATAATTGAGATAATGCGTTTATACGTTATAGTTTTTCAAACGCCTTCACACTTTTGTAGATTACTCATGTAAGGCAGTACATTGTCCACACGACCTAACACTGATAAATAACTATAAGTTTCTTTACAAGAAATTATACAAAAAACAATGTAGTAAAATTCAGATAACAATTTATCAATATGAACGTAATATAATGTGGTGCGTAGTACATAGATTGCCAAACACACAATGCTATTGATGATAAATGGTTTGTCGAAAAATATCCTTCAGGTCAAAAAAGTTGAAAATAGCGTGAATGTCTGTTGATTAAAATTTTGAAATGATGATTGTTAGCTTTGCGATATGTTAACTAATTTTTAAACTGCTTCATTTTTCTGATTGATTTTAATACATAGACTTGTATCGATGTCTAATGTCTTCAAAATTCTTTTAAACACCCAATTATATAGTTAGAATTAAAGTTGATAACATCATTATTTTAACAACAACCCACGTGAGAGCTGTGATTATTTTGATACTAAAATCGAAGCAGGTCGCTGTATACATTTAGACATCTAGCTGATACCAAGACCGAAAACAGATTCTTGTAGATTTGCACGATGCAAGGAATGGTTTTAGAAAGATAACGACCAGCTATGCAGATGCATATCATGCTCCAAATATACATTCTTACCTTCAGTATATATATAATTGTTACCTTTTTCTTTTTTATTCCTCAGATATCATCGCAAAAATAACGCAAGGCAAAGTCTCTACTCTGTGATACTTCAGAAAGGACGAGACCTCCTTACATTATTACAGGTTATAACACCCCAGTGTCACTCCAACACCACAGATTGGCATGTGTGGTCCTTGTTTACACAATCGTACCTATCCGGTAGAATACACTGGACTTACACTGACCACTCGACTGCTGCCGGTCACTGCTACTTCACCAAGACCCTTCCGTAATTCCCCCGTTGTCAGTCGGACCTGAAGTACGTTTATATACGGGAAGATTTATTGGACTTATCCTGGTACCAGATAAGGGCAAGATTTTGATAGGAATGAAGAATGACTTTCAACTGAAAGAAATAAGCTATAAAAAGTAAAATCAAACTGTTTGCACGAACATAGTCACACCTATTGCCAACGATAACATTCAGACTACAGTAAATAGATACCACGTATACCAGAAGGGCGTTGATCAGATCGTACAGGAATAAATACACACGTGCTTTATTATTACTCATACCTACATGCCCAATAAATTACACGTTCAAAAAAAAATCTAAAAAAAATCCATATCTCATAATAACTAACGCTGTGTAACTCAAAGCATAAACAAATCAAGTTTTTATACGACTGTTCAGGACTGTTTTAGAAACAGTCAAAGTGTTTTCAAGGGGCGTTGGAAAGACACGGAGAACTGTTTCCTGCGGACGCTAACGTGAAATTAGGGACAAGAGTTTTGATTGTTCCGAAAAAACCCAGTTACATATGAAAGACATAATGCATAGTTTCTTGCAAGCTGCTGATTATTTCTTCTCGTTTAGTATTTTTTGTTGATAGGCAAAACATATACAACAGTCCAGCACCTCCATTGGTATCTTTATTGAAAACTCCAAAACTTCCAAAAGTTTATGAGGTTTTGAAAATTTCTCAGTCATCCTATTTGCGTTCACTTATTACGAGGAGTATTTTTATTATTGTTATATCACTAATTCATTGAAGGTGATACCACTTAATGGTAATTAGTAGTAAAACATTCGAAGAAAAAATGGCGAACATGGCGAACATCCTCACAGGAATGTCCACCAACACATGCTGGGTTATCAACAAACTTGTTTGTTTGCTGATAAATAGCCAGAACGCATGTTGTTAGTTAAATGAGGCTAGAATTCTAGCTACTATAAATACTGCTTACCAATCCCACAACAAAATGTGTTCGAGGAGGAAAGTTAATGGGCAGCTGTCTGGTCATTATACACATTGATATAGGAAGCATGGAGCAGCGATTGCCGTGCAGCGACTTGATGACAATTAAGGTACCTGTAATATCAGAAGATAGCGGATACTAATACTCGAGTTCAAGGTTATAATCTCTTGACTCGGGAACGTCATTCGGGATGAAAACAGATCGATTGAACAATAACTGTCTCAATAAAACAGCAA